GAACTCGGCTCCAGACGGGGCTGGCTTGTCCGTAAGAACGGGAGGACTGAGCAGAAATCTCGGTATGTCAAAATCGCGGGAATCGCTGGGCCTGCTCGGGGTTCATCTCATTAGACCCTACCTGCAGTAACCTTGTACGAGCTTGCCGCCCCTCACCGGCGCGAACCCTTTCTTGCGCTTCAAGCATTGTGCCGTCCGAAACATGGTATTTTTCTGTTGCTGTTGGTTATGCCTTTTTCCCTATAGAAATCTCTCGTAAGCTTGCCCATGTCTCGGTAGTATCGTGGTGACGGCCAAATCCACCAGGTGTGCAGCTCTGACAGCAAAACAAAAACGTGAGCGAATCCGAGGGAGTCGTGAAAGTCTGTCTGATTCAGTTGTCCGAACGGCGTGGGTAGATCGGTAGATATATCGAGATGCTGATATGCTACATGGAGGGGGTGTTGAATTTTGCCGGTGGATGCGAGATTGACTACTATTGGGACGGTAAGGTATCCAATCTCTGACCCGAGTACAAAACGTTCTGGAAGCAAGACACTGATCGTAGATTTTCAACGTTTTGCGCACGGTCGTTTAATCTCCCATCCTTCATTCTGTCCCAGCTCACAGGCATTGTTGCTTTTGCTCCGGCCGAGAGGGTCGCTCCCGTTTCCAGATTTCGCATTTCGGTGACAGAAGACTTCCAGAACCGCCTGCGACTTAGACGGGCCAAGATCGACGCTCGTCCCGAACACGGGTCTTTGCCAAGACGATTCTCAATGCTTCCCCTGATACAGCCCCTGGTTATCAGGATTATCTTGTTGCTTCTGGCGGCCCAATGTCGAAGAATGGAAACCATAGTAAATGTGGCTTGAGACGGCACATGTGCGACGAGAGGAATGAGGAATAGTGACCCCCACCCTGCACAAAGAAATGATCATCTCTCCTCCCGTTGAGTGCTAAGAAAAAAAATCAATTGTACCATTGATCCCCAATCACTCAATGAGGCCTTTTGGCTTTGCAAACGGTCGACTTGCGTAATTGTAGTGTGATTTCGGTAAAAGTCCCGGACCCCGGCATATTCCCCGTGGAAAAGAGGGGAAAGGGGAGACGGCGGGCTAAGAAAAAAAATAACGCCTGTGACGTCATTGAGTTTTTGTCGATTTTGTCGTGGTGCCCGTTGTGGATGCCCATCTCCGCTGGGCTTGTCTGTTTTGGGCATTCAACCGCTTAGCCTACCCCCTGGGATCCGACAACCCCCTGCGCTGGGAAATGTGGACATCGGACCAGGGCCTATTGATTGTTGACTCTTCGGGCCTTTGAGAACTCACGGTGTGTGTGTTGTACGGTTCCAACGGTGCATCGACGATGGCGGAGGGAAATTTCGGGGGCATCTCGCTAGGGTCTTTTTCCGTCCGCAAGCAAATCCCGACTTACGGAGGCCGGAGGGAGCAGCTTTACAGATATCGGCTGCTGTGCCGCCACACTGACAGACGTCGTTGTTGTTGTTGCCCGTGGCGGCTGCTGTGTGAGTGTGTGTTGGTTGGGCGGGCTCAGCCTCTCGAGAGCATCGCGGGGTCTAGATTCGGGATCCAGATATCGCGGTAGGCTGAGCCGCCGAGGGATATGGGATTTTGGGAGATCGGAGAAGGCCATCCAGTCGTCGCGGTTTGTACAAGGTGGTGCATGCGGAGAGATAGCAAAGCCAGACGACATCTGTGGCGACAGCTTTCAAGCCACAGGGTCCGGACTGATCTCAAGGGACACTTCAAGGGACACTTCAAGGGACACTTCAAGGGACACTTCAAGGGACTTCGCCGGACCAATCTTTGCGTGCCTGCATTCAATCGGGATCGACAGTCGAACAGACGGAGATGACTGGAACCCAGAGGGTCCAGCACAGCCACGGATTTGCAACGGTTCATCGACCATCAAAAGTTGGGCTTCCGTGAGAATGTATCGATACATGCATCCCGAAGAGACGGACGGGATATCAGACGGCGGCTCAGTGCCCGCAACTAAGGTACTGTAGGCCACACTGCTACAGTACTGTGCTCAATACACGAGTCAATGACTCTAATCCTCAGGCAGTTGTTCGATTCCAGACAAAACGAAACCCCTTTGGATTTACTGCTGCCTCCCGAATTAGAACTTCATCACATGTTCCCCAGGGTCTTTCTCACCGCCGAAATGCGTTCCGTCGTCGATGTGTGGTGAAGCCTTTTTTTCACTGCAGTGATTTCGTTGGCATTTGCCGTGACAGGCTGACGGTTAGAGGCGCCTGGTCTCCACTGGAGTGTCCTTGAACGGTGTGGGGACCAGAGAGTGGATGAGTTGTGGTAACCCCTCCTTTAGCAATTTCGGCCTGTGCCGGTAGCGTTTCGGTGCCCAACGCCCATCGAAATTTGTTAACGACCATCGGGGCATCAGCTAAGGTAACGGACGACTCATATCACAAAGACGAGGATGCGGGTCGATTATGCACGTGCGTGATCAATAACACCACCCAAATCTCAGCTTCAATATTTTACTCATGATCATGCAAAACGCTCCGGGGGCCACTCACTGTATATATCAGTGTTGTAAACGAAACTATAAGCAAACTACAGTTTATATGACCAACTCGAACCACATGATATAGGGTGGCTCGAGAAGACAGACACTGCGTACGGACGTATTCAGGCTCTTATATATCCCTACGCAACATGCGAAACAGCGAAAGACTATCGGTAGCCGAAATATTCCCGCTATGTGCTCGGGCAGAAAGGTTAATCCATATTCACCAAATGCTTATGATGCTTCATTATCTAGACACTATAGAAACCGTCTTCGTGTCATCCACATGCTCACTTCAAAAAATCCCAGGAGAAACCAGCAGATGGGTAATTGCTGGAAGCATCTGAAGCATCGCCCGTTGAGTCGTAGTCGTAGTCGCCGCATAACAACACACAGCTCTTTGGCAACACGTGTATGCAGTCAAGGTGCCAGACCCCATGTCCGACTCTTGTGTTCAAACAGAGGAGCGAGCCAACTGTCACACCCAGCAAAGAAAGAAAGAAAACGCCCCAAAGATATCGACCAAAATCAACCATCCAATTCTACACTTTACACTACCATGCATTGGACTTATGGATGTCCCGTGGTGGGGGGAGGTTGCTTGGCCCCCTCAACCCGTCCATCCGTCTTTCTGTGCTCCGCGAGGGTCGTTGTCCGTCGGTCGAGTCAGCCACCAGACAGACCCCCGTTGGCTCCCACAGCTCCCTTCAGACCATCGCATTACTTCTTCTTTGAGCGAGAGCGAGAGCGGAGAGGAGTGATTTTGTCATTTCTTTTATCTTTTCCTTTGTGCTACAGTTCCGTCATATACTGGCGGCTCGCCCACTGGGCGATTCGATTACAAGTGTTGGGCCGCGTTTACGCTATGGGCAACACATGATTTACATTGGCAATAGGCCTCGGTTTGCCCTCGGATTAATGGTTTTGGTGGACAATTAGGGCACTGTTCTTAATTTTGTATGCTAGACTCACCGGTGCGGCACGTCTCATGCCCTACGGGAGGCGGAAGTAGACGTTAAAAATAACAACAACACAAAAAAAAAAAGCACTTCTTCTTTGGGCTTAGCGGAGGTGTGAATGTGCGTGTGAAAGCGACTGATGGGAACGGACTGATGAAAATGGGACCGGTCTCGAGAGAGCCTGACCCCGTTCCTGTCCGTTCACACATCGGTCACCCTCCGTCGCTCGACCGAGTTTCTTTCACTCCAGTCCTGTTCTGGTGGCTACTACCAGATGCTCCTTCCGAGTCGAATCGCCTTTGGTGTCCTGTGCTTCTCTTGGCTTCCTGTCCTTGTAACGTACAGTAATTCGCCTTCTACCTGTAGGCGGCCTCTCAAAGTTTATCACGACCTCGATGCAAACTTGACCGTTGTCGTTTTTATAACTATCTCTACGATATTTTAAGAAAGACAGAGGGGTATTGTGTTTTGTGCAAAGAGAAACGGCTCCTGTCGGTCTCAGTCCGCTGACTACAAGAGTAAGGTACCTTACTTACCAATTACTGTATATGCACTGTACTGTACCGTAACAAGCCCCGGTACCCCTCTGGCCTGTGATCGTAGCATCTCCATCCTGGCAGGTACCTCCGCTACTGATTCCACAGAGACGTACGGTAGGGTACCCACACACAACCCCTGGGCTTTAATTGATGGTTGGGAATGCATTAGCGGCTGCTGCGTGTTGGGGGTACCATACAGTGTACGGGACGACGAACTCGAGGGCACCTAGCTGAGATGGAAGAAAGGGAAGTGAAGTCCTCGTCTCAGCTTCTCAGTTCATGTATGGGAGGTAGAGGTATATACAGGGCATGCTCGGCCGGCCACACACCCGCTCGCGCCAGCCATGAGGTGCGGAACAAACTCTTAGTCGCAATAAACGAAGAAGGAACCGACCGACCGATCAAAAATTTCCCTTGCCCTCCCATCGCTTCCTTCTCCCTTCCACTTCTCTGGCGCATCTGCCGTTTCTCTCTTTTTGACTCTTTTCCGTCTGCTTAGTTGCGCTGCCTCTCGTTTTCGCAACAGAAAAGGTGCACTTACTTCTGCGACCTGCTTGCCCGACGCCGACGCATCAACCAGGAGCACATCTCTTTTTTTCGGCATCCCCCCCGTCTTTGCTCGCGCGCGACACGCCCACCGCAGCAGCACCGCACCTAGTCGAGTTGCGGATTCGCCTGAAGCTTCACATTTGATACCCGCAGCCTGCGTGCATTGCGACTTCCAAATCTGCTTGCTTGTCTTTGCATACTTTTGGCATTTGTCTCGCTTTTCCACGCGAGTTGACGACGACGACCGGCATAGCGGAGCTTTTACCGGATCCCGATCCGGCTGGAGGTACAACCGTGCCTGGACCCATACGTCGACTTTGGGCACATACATACCCTGAGCCAACATTTCGGTGTTCGAAGAAAGAAAGGGCTACGAGTCTCACCCGTTGCGAGAGCCTAGTTAACCCGTTAAGCAACCATGTTTTCCCAACGGTAAGTACCTCTGGCTTGCGGGTTTTTTGTGGGAGTCTTTCTTTTTTCTTTCTGTTTCTAAAAGTTGGAGTGGTTCTTTCTGCCCGGGCCTGGCACCCGCGCTTCCAATTTCCTGCTTGTCTACTCTCAACCTTGGCCGATTTTCTGACAACTTTTTGCTTCACAGAACAAGTGCGCGAAAGCCAGCAGATGAGCTGCTGGCGACCTTCAGGCATCAATTCCCTGAAGTAGCTGCCGCCACATCTTCCGGGCCCGCAGCGCCTGCCCGAACCGCAACCACCGGTCAAGCTGGCATTGCCGTCACGGCCGCAGAAAGGTGGGTGATTCTTTTCCCCTCCAGATAATCGTTCCCGTTGCGTCACAGCTGCTGGTCCGGGTGTTTCATCCTTGGCTCGGATGAAATAAGCTTAAAACAAGCACCTCCCGGACTTTGCGGAAGCTCGCATTTGTCATGACCTTTAGCACCGGCAGCCGTCGGGCGGCCCGGTCATGCCCTGCGATTCCATATCGCCCGTCTAGATTCCCTGGGTTGGGTTTGACTAATTGTGGTAATATTTAGAGCCCAAAGCCTAGGCCATGACCCTTTCCGTGATCAGGACCCAACTCCCCGGGCCACGAACGAGCAGTGGAGGTTCACCCCGTCTGCCCTAGACGCCAGCCAGTTTACCTTCTCGCAATTCGGCGCCGGCCATCATGGTGGCTTATATACCCCTACTCCGGGTGGAACCAACACCATCTACCACCCCACGGCCGGAGATCTCCATACTCCGACGCTCGGCCTAGGAATGGGCTTGGGTACGCCGCTGTCGATGCCCACCGCCGACGGATCTCTGCATCACGGGCCAGCGCATATGGAATTGGGTGGATTCCACCATGGCTTTCCCCAGTTTCCCCATTATAACGCCTTTATTCAAGCCGCGCCAGCCCAGCCGTCCTATGCACCCTCGATTTTGATTCACCAAGACTCGGGCTTCGAAACAATGGATCAGGACGACTCACCCATCAACTCCGATCTGACTGATGAAAGGATGGGCAGCATCGATGGCAGCTTCCGCCAACAATCTCCAATGGTGGGCTTCCAAAGGCAATTCGGCATGGGGCCCATTTCCATGCAGCTACCGCCATCAGCCGAGAGATTCCGTTTTCACACGACACTCAACGCACCGACGGCCATGATCAAATCCTCGGACGAAATCCCCGTGACCTATCTTAATAAGGGCCAGGCCTACTCTCTGGCTATCGTCGATACCGCGGCCCAGGGACCCATCATCCCCGGGACTCGGTATCGTACATTCGTCAGGGTGTCTTTTGAAGAAGAGCAGCAGCGCCAGAAGCCCGGTATGTGCTGGAGCTTGTGGAAAGAGGGTCGCGGCACCAATGAAGCACACCAAAGAGGAGGAAAGTTGCAAGCCGTTGAATTTGTCGAGGCTAGCCAGCCAGCAGAGGGTGACGATAAAAGGACGCGTATCGAACTGGAGAGGGCTTCGTTTGACGGGTTCTCGGTCATCTGGACCCCCGGCGTCAACGGTTCCCTCGATTGCAATATCGCCGTCCGCTTCAACTTCCTTTCCACTGACTTCAGCCACTCCAAGGGTGTCAAAGGCATTCCCGTAAGACTCTGCGCAAAGACGCAACCGTATCTCCTAAATTCCCCCCAGTCACCAAACACCAACGACGGAGCCGAGGTTTGCTACTGCAAAGTCAAGTTGTTCCGCGATCACGGTGCTGAGCGCAAGCTGGCTAACGACGTTGCGCATGTACGAAAGACTGTTGAGAAACTTAAGCAACAAATCCAGCAAGCCGAGAGCGGCATCAAGGACTTCGGCAAGAGGAAGAGACCGGGGGTGGCGCAGATGAAGAGTCAGAGCAGCCACCGCCCTGGAAAAATCCAAAAACACAAGCGGACATGGTCCATGTCATCTGCTAGTTCCGCTGGAGGCGGCCCTCGTGTACAGGCCGAAGAGGACCTGAACGTAAAGCTACAAAGCTACCAGGATATGTTCAACAGCACCCGCCCTATCAGTGTCCTATACCTCCGTGGTGAGGAGCTTGACGACCCCGACCTGCATCCCGTGGTTCTTCCTGGGGACCAGTCTCAGTCCCTCGACCTTACCAAGATGGAGTCCAAAGAAGACATTGCTTGGCGCAGTGAGCGGAGCTCTGTTGCTGGATCTTCTCTTGTCTCGCCATCTCTAAGCTCGATCTCGGTTGCTTCGCAGATGTCCGTCAGCGGATCAAAGCCAAACTGGGGGCCGGAACTTCACAGACTCAACTCGGGCGATGCTTCTAGGGGACTGTCCGGCCAGCCAATCAAAGTCAAACAGATCACGGATGATGCTGGGAACATGTCGGGCTGGTTAGAGTCCTTAGATGTCGACGCGGGTTACCGTCCTCCCCCAGAAAGGGCGACCAAGCCCGTAGCCTGTTTCTACATCGCTCTTGTAGATCCTGGTAACCCGCAAGGCCAGGAAACGTATCGCGCGGTCTACCTCATGCAACGGAGCTTGCATGACTTTGTCGTGCGTATTTCGCAGAAATGGAACCTGGACCCGAGCAGCATCATCCGTACCACTCACGTTCTCCCGCGCGGCATTGAAGTAGCAATGGACGATGACGTTATTCAGGAGCTCCCAGAAGGCCAAGATATGAAGCTCGAGATCCACGAAGTCAATGGAAACAACTCTGGTGTCAAGCGTGAGTGGGAGATGGCCGTCGATGGCCCTGAAGCCGAGCTAGCATCACCAGCAACCACCAACAACAGCCTGCAGACAGCATACGAGTTGCGACTATTGTACTAAGATAAACATTGCAAGCCCTGGGAAGGACATGGATCATTCTCCAAGGTTTGTCTTGTTCCACTATGGTAGGTGTCAAACCTATCACTGAATGATCAATACAAGCCACAACATATGGTACACGACTGGCGATAGGGTAAACACGACGTTATGGGAAACTAGGCAAATAGACAGCGATTGGCTATTATGGTTCGGGAATGGCAGGTCTTTAGAAGGCTAGGGTCGGGTTTTGTCTGTCTGTTTGTCTTGTCTGGGCGGGTTTTTCGGGGCGCCAACCAAAAAAAGCGGCGTGGGCACATGCATAGACACATGAGTCTCGTGTCAATGGGGTAGGGGGTTTTGCTATGTGCTGTTTGGCGTTGATACTTGATGGGTCTTTTTTTCTATTCTTCTCCTTCCTGTTCGAGATACCATGACCCATGACGGTCACAGTTCCTTTTCTGCGTCCTTTGTTCGCTTCTTCTCTTTTGTACAACTAGCCTGCCAAGTCAGCAGGCAGAGCCAGGAGTAACAGAAGGATGGGGCTTACAGGGCGGTTTGGTTGACTGGATACGGGTTATTTTTTTACACTATCGGTTTGGATAAACCCCCTTAGTACTTGTGTTTATCTTCACTTCTTGGGTATTTCTGGCCATTGCCCTTCTTCCAATATTGGACAGCCAAATACACACTTCTTGAACATACCTCTCGCATTCCCAGGGTGCCAATCGTATTTACTGTTTGGCCCTGGGGTCATATTGTGTCCTTCCAACGATTGATAACCAACCCTGTGTGGGTCGCAAAGCCAACGTAGCGCGCGCCTTGACGGCATGAAAGCAGCATCATTTACAACCCAATAGGACAAGACCTCCCCATTTTCATGCTGTTTGAGCTTGGGTAGCAGCAACGCTGACATTCAGCCGCAAGTGTCTTCCTGAGAGCGAGAAAGGTCGTCCAGGGTCCAGGTGGCGAACAACCGTTTTCGAAAGCAGTCTTTCTTGCAAAGTCATTGGACAAAAGGCTCATGCGGCTCGATCGGGAGTAATAGCACCCGGAATGAAGGCCGAGTCTGAAATTTATACACTACTGTAAATGAATTCAGTCAGCGGGTAGTTCTACTGTGTACTCCGCGCCGAACCGCCAGCCCGTGACAGCCATGCAACGGGGAAGGCTAACGGCCACGTCGTCGACGGTTGCCCCTACTCCCAACTACTCACACGGACACCTCATTTCCAGCCCACACACACCTCCAGGATCCCCTCGACATTCACCAGATCCATGGACAGAAAGTAGGTACCGAAATAGTCAAGTCCCGTGATGATAGCACTGGCTCCGGCGGAAGAGGATCTTAGTCCCAAGATTAAACGAAACGAAGCGGCGGCCATAATCCTTCAACGATTAGTTTCCACTCGGTTAAGAGGTGGAGAGGATCCGTAAGACCATGACGGCACGGGATAAGCAACAGATGACGTGGCTTGAAAGCGTTGGCTCGTTGTTACCAAGGGCTCAGGGGGGTTGGGTTCCTGCAATCTTACGGCGTGGGTGACACTCTCCTCAAACTCACTAACCTCTTAAGATAATATGTATAGGAGATGGTTTTGTTGACGGACCGTTTCCACCGGTTGGTACCTTTGGACGTTGGAAGAGACCAAAGCCATCATTTTTTTCTTCCTTCTCGGATACACGCACGGATATCAGGGAGATACATCATGGGTGTGAAATGATATCCAAGAAGCCCCGACTCCTTTTCCACGAACACATGACTGGGTGCCTGTCATGACTACCAACCTACCAACGTACCGAGGCCACAATAGAGTGTAGTGTACCCTGTGTACTTTACATGGTGGTAATAAAGGGAGACAGGAGCCAACAACAACCACGGTTACATTCCGTGCCAACACCTCACCCACCCGTCCGTGCCATTCATTCATAGGTAGGTATGCGGAGATGAGAAGGATCGTTTTGGGCAATATTCCCCTGAGAGGTGCAGAGCAGTTCATCCTATCGAGATGGGTGAGGGAGCCTTTGTCCGGCTTGGTTCGATGAGTGTCCCTTTCCAACTCTGCCCCTCTACAGGCACTACCCCAATAAGGCGAGAGAAATCCGTTGTGGATAACGGAAATCTCTGATTTCGATCACCACACTTGTTGTCCTGGTGGCCCATCAGCCCACAACGGAGCGTTGCTTCTATAAGTACACCACACAAGTTATGCTGATGCTCCCTGGTAGGCATCATATCCTGGCTCCAATCCCCGGGAGACGGCGTATGGAAGGGGAAGAAGAGGCAGGGTACGAGGAGACAATTCCCCGGCAAATACGGTCCCCCGGTCCTGCCCCCGGATTCGACTCGGAGATTGAACTTCCAAGCCAAGTGGATGAGCCGAGGACTGATGCAATTTTGGCCATTGCTATTGAGTGGCTGGGAAGTAACGATGGTAGAGTAACGGAAAGAAGGACTGACGTTCTGAACTGATGAGGCGCATGCAATGAGGCGCGCGCAACAATGAACAAGTGTGGCGATTCACCCTCTACGAAATGCGATTGGACAATTCGGCTTACACGCACTTTCCCTTTCATCGAACATTGGCGCATCGCACTTTTTCTTGTGACCACTGCACAGCAAACAGAAAAAAGAGAAATGCCCCGCTATGTGCGAAGATCAGTTTCCTCAAAGCGCTGGAATCCGATCTTTCTTTGGAATTGTCGTTAGTCAATCGCCACCTTTGATAAAGCTCTCCATTTTGCACAAGCACCATACAGAATGAAGGAATCTTTTGACAGTGTGTCGGTACCGTTTCGGCATTTCTTTTTTCTTTCCTTCTTGTCCTTCTTTGTGACTTTCTAATAAAAAAGGATAGGCCATCACCAAGACGATCTTTTCTACACTACCGCTGTCGATCCTACACGTGTCTCGGTTCGAATATCCTCAGAGGACCTTGAACCGTGCTTTGCGTGCCTGACTTGCACTACGCTACTAGAGCAGTGATGGTCGGTGGGGGAGGCGACAAACTTTTGAAGTTACATGACCGCGCCACGACTACCCCTCGGTACATTAACATATGCGGAATGATGCACACGAAATCTCACTAGCTACGGGTTTGTCTTTGTCCCCTCCCTTCTTCCTTCGTCCATCTGTCCCCAGCCACAGTTCTCAATATGTCTATCTTCTCGGGTACTAACCATGTTGCTATATCAGTTCAGGCTGCCAGGCGAATGCTAGTACGACAACCCCAATGGACGTACGGTACGCGTGTCTATGGCGGATACAACAGACCTTCTAGGAAAATGATCGATAAGGTCGAACTGTGGCTGGGTCAGGTCTTTCTGTACGGGACTGACACCCGAGATAGTCGTCAGCAGATCGATGTCCGTCACCAGCCATTCCTACCCTGAACTCGTCAGTCGCTCTCGTCCCATCCTACCAGACGGCAACTATAACCGAACGAACCTCCCACAGTACACTACATGAGGAGATCGTTTTGAATCGATCAACATCAGACAGGAGGCCTCTGAATCTGCAATCGGACTGTGGGGGAAAAGGGAGGCGTCTGTTGTCTTACAACAATGGCCATCCAGTTCCAGACCGTCTGGTTATCCGGAGCGAACAGGCAGTTTTGTCTCTGTTTTTGGTCGTACGAAGGTTTGTCCGCGTGGGGAATTCTGGAGAAGATGTCGTTGGAGGGTGCGGAGGCATGCACAATGGCACACTGCTGTGGCTTGTGGCTGTGTCCTGTCTCACTTTCGCCTCCTCTATCTAAGAGTCGAGTCCTCCACCATCTGATAACGTACGAGTTACTTCAGGCCTAGGCATGCTGATTCCCATGACCTATCTCGTTCTCGTCCTATGTCAGACGCCATACACTACCGAACCGCATATAACAGCAATGCAAAACGGAAGCAGGCCACCGGCATCACATCGCATTACACATGCCCCTTGGGCGTTGTTCGACATCGGCCACTGCATGGGCCACCATTGTCTCATAGCTCGCGAATGGAAGGACGGAAGTTTAAAAGTTTCATGAACGCGGACGACGGATACCGACTTCGCCGTCGGAGCTGGCATCAACATGTCTTGGTCTATCTCGAGATGGCCCGTCCCGTTCTGTTTTACCGTCTGCACTTTTCCGACAAAGCCGAATCCGAACCTCTCCCACACGCAGGCTGCATACAATGGACCCTGAAGATACCAATTTCAGTTTTTTCACCTCCTTCCAGCCCGTCGGCCGGGGTCAGATGTGATACGGGAAGAAGCGTCTGCAGTGTGGTGCAGTGCAGGTTAGGGGGAGGTAAGCAGGCCGATACACTCCTGGTCGTGCAGTAGCGGAGGGGAGGTAGAGCAGGGGGAAGTTCTCCAAGTGGAAGTACCGATTGCGTCGACATCTCTCACACACCTCCCGCAATCCCTTTTCCCCCGCTTCCCGTTTGACGAGGGTTATGAAGAAGGCTTGATGTACTAGTACAAGCTCGACTTGCCCCCCTCAGCCCTTCTGCCCTCTCGGCCTTTTGCCACATTTCACTCGCCACACTTTGCCGACGATCATATCCCGATCGAGTACGCGCGGGTTGAACAGGTGAGCCCAACCGTTAGGGTTGTGCAGTACCGTATGAGCATGTCCTGTGGTATGCAGTTACGGTTACGGTCACAGTGGTCCTCATGATTCAAGACTGCCGTGGAAAGGAAGAGGGGAGGGGGGTCTGTCTGGTCTGCAATGGGAGGTCTGCCTCCGTTTTTCCACCTGGTGCGCTAGGAAACATGGCAAATATTTTATTCTTTCACCTTCCCGTATCTCTACCGTATCTTTTATTGCGTCCACGCACACTATGTACATCCATCACACTCGTCCTGTGAGGTACATACATGAAGGCACGCACGCATACAGTATACTTCCTCCCGACCACATGGAATTATTATCCTAACCACGAGGGATAGCAAACCACAGCCGCTCCCCTGCAGATTCCGAACTCCCAGGTTGTTCCCTTGTCCATCCGATCTGGCACATGGGACACATGGGCAGCGGGTTGAC